CTATGTGCTTTTAAGCCCATGCGTACTTCAGTAAAGTCTGTATCTCCTTTGTGTTGAGTACAGGTTTTTGTGCAGATGCATCTCTCTCCACCAGCAGCTCTGCTGTTCCCTCTCATGGACACTATTAAGGGGATCTGGGAATGCAGTCACTCTGATTCCGTTATGCGGTTCTCTTCATCTCTTCATGGCACTCCGACCGCCTCAATCAGCCTTGTTAGGGTCTGCACCGGTCCCTTCCAATTCTTGCCCGAGCTTCCACCTTTTGCAGAACCAAAATGCACCTACATTTTTCATTTTGGTTCTTCATCTTCGATTGGTGGTCTGGCTGCAATGGCCTTTTTGCTTCTTGCCTTAGCGCTCTTCACTGTGAGCTGGTTGACTAGATTTCGGTAGGCAGCAGAGCGCAGGAATCGTGGGTGACAGTCCTTTTCCATGAGAATATAGATGCGGTACTGGGCCATATCGAAGCAGGATGCCGTAGGGCTTTTCAAGTTGGCTTGAGTAATGTCTCGGGTCTCATAATCAATGTTAACCTGGAAGCGAAAAGGAAGTGAGTTCAAACATCTGCAATTTAGGAACGATACCACAGGATATGGTGATTTATTATGTATATTTACCTCTCTAGGAGCTTCACTTCCGATAAACTCCTCGTAGATCCTCTTGGCTTTGGATGGCATCTTAGCTGCAGACTTTGTACTTTTGTAGTCCTCACAGGCCAGGTAGAAAGCAATGTTTTCTTCACTAAACTCAGATACCAGGAAAGCTCTGAAGGCATATAGTCCATCTGATAGAGAGCGAAAAATGGAGTTAGAGAAGAGATTAGTTGTTTAACGTGTCTCATCAGATTAAAGCCCCCCACACAGATCAGAAAGCAGGACAGACACATCTGTGCACTGCAGTCCTATTTCTAGCATCTAAATGTAAAGCTAACTCTAAATTTAGACTGAACTGTAAATTCAAAGCTGTAAATAAAACTTATTGGAGTATGTTTTTTAAGAAAACTATTTCAGTCTTTCTACCTCAGTATTTCACATTAATTGCCATTTCTTTGTAGTTATTTGTGAAATTTGTTAGCAATGGAAGGGAATTTTTTCCAAGTAAATCGTACTCCAATTGTTTTTTAATGTACGTCGTTACTAAGGCAGATTTTTACTTGATGTTATCATTTGAAATGATTTGCTTTACCTCATAACGTTTTTTTAAACATAAAATGGGGTCATCTTTATTACACAATGAAAAAAACAAACAAATGTATATATTTCAAAGTTGATTATCAAAGATTGTTGGAGTACATTTTACGAGAAAAAAATATTTCAGACTTTCTGCTTCAAATTCACACTTACAATATATTACTTGTTTGTACTTATTTGTGAAATTATTAGCAATTGAGTGATTCTTTTTTTTCAGTGTGGACTTACGTTTGCTGGACAGAAGCTTCTCAAAAGACAGTTTCCACAGCAGACATTCCTCCAAGGTCAACCTGCAAAGATGTAAGCCAGTCAGAGAAGAAACCATATAAAACTAAACACGCGTTATCATGCAAAAAGAAACATGCTATGAAATAGGCAAAAGCCAGTGCATTCAATAACTGTACTTACCTTGGTTTTCTATATTTACATAGGCTGCTCAAGTCTTGTCTCTGCAGAAATCCTCCTACGCATGCCTTTAATCTTTTGGCCCTGATGTTAGAAATGCATTTATTTAATACACAACATATGTACACTTTTGAAATATACACAGTTCTTATAAGATTACAAGCCCCTACTGATGTTATATAAAAGAGTAGAGGTTTACGTTTAAGCCTTCAAATGATTTGTATAAAATATAAAAAGCACATAAAACCCTTAAAAATGTCAATATGAGGATCGTACCTTTCTAGGCAATTGTTTGAGAGCCCTGTTATTCCTCTACACATTGGAAAGCCAGAAGGGAAATAAATATCCATTGCGCAGTGTGATCTCTAGGTGAAATTTATCAGCAGTGTGTCTGCAGT